TTAAAGGGTTCGGTTTCAGTCTTTTTTTTTATAGTAGCTTTACCATTCCTATTACTTAGCTATTTCCTTTTCTCGGCCTTAGGACACTTTCTTTACCATACACTGTGTTTCTTTGGCCGTAAAAGAGGCAGTCTGCACTTGTATTGAGTTTCCTCATTGTGAAGGAGATGGAAAAGAAAGCACACATATAGCACTTCCTGCCTGTGTCTCAGCTATAAGCACTTTTAGCTGCTACCATGTGGTTGACTGAAACCAGGGTGTGCCAGATTATTGATCAAGAATGCATGCTGCAGCTCGGCTGTTTTGTAACTTGTTCCTTTTCTTATGTAGATCTACATGTACAGTGAAGGAATCGAAATCGCACGTAACGTGCAATGCGTTTGCAAGTGAAATAATGTAAAGTTCCCCCCCCCCCCGGAATACCTGCGCTCGAATGTACTATCATGTGGTCCATGTGCATAGTTGTGATAATTAAATTGGTTCAGCGCTGTATTCCGGTGTATGTGCTCAAGTTGTTTACAGGTAGAAATTGACGGGGGGGCACACCAAGTTCTTTACATTACATGTACCGTAAAGTACCGTTGATCCGCCCCCTCTCTAATTCCCGCCCCCTGTCGATGTTCTCCTTGTGAAGCGACTTCGGCGTATACAACGAAATACGATGTTGAGCCGACGCATGCACTGCTGTACACAATACTTGCCAATCCAGGATCAAAATGTGCACAATCCAGCGCATCGAGTCTGAACTTCTACGTTGTTGTACATCGTACTGCACTTGACAGCCTTGATCTAATTCTCGCCCCCTGCCGAAAACCCAGCTGGGAAGCGACATGGCGTGGGGGCGGATCAACGGTACTTTACGGTACACGTACAGTAGAGCCACGTCAAAGAGGAAGTTAAGCCTAAAATCAAAATGTTCACCAGTTGTAGTCTTCGGGGTGCTGAGTCAGACTACAACATATGGACCAATCGCGGTCATCCGTGCTTTTATAAGAACGAAATGGCGCTTTTAGTGACATTTCGCATACAAATCCCCATCTAGCAGGGCGCAGTCACCCAGTTTCGGTAGAAGTGCGCGAGTTCGATTGGGAATAAAGGAGGAAGGGAGCGTCTGAGCTTCCTCGGACCAAGACCATTGGACTCAGCACCTCGAAGACTACAACTGGTGAAAATTTGATTTTAGGCTTAAAGGGGAAGTATACCCTAAAATCAAATTTTCACCAGTTGTAATCTTCGGGGTGCTGAGTCGAATGGTCTTGGTCCGAGGACACTGAGACACTCTTTTCCTCCTTTATTCCCAATCGAACTCGCGCACTTCCACTGAAACTGGGTGCCTGTGCCCTACTAGATAGGGATTTGTATGGAACAAGTCACTAAAACGCCGTTTTGTTCTTATAAAAGCACGGATGACCACAGTTGGTCCATATGTTGTCGTATTTTGGCCGCTGAGTCGACTGGTTTTGGTCCAGAAAGGCTGCGATGCAGCGTTTGGCCCTTATTCCCAATCGAACACGGTTGAGTAAGCGGTCACGTGGTCATGCGTACACCAGCCGCCTGGTCACCGTGCCTGCAGGCTACAATTTTCACATCAAGGTTCAACTCAAAGGTTCAAAGCAGGGAGTCGTAAGAGGCTTTTGCGACTCCCTGGTTCAAAGGTTCAACTCGAGTGACATAAACGGGCCCAAACAGGCTGTAAGTGAGCACGTGACCGCTTACTCAACCGTGTTCGATTGGGAATAAGGGCCGAACGCTGCATCGCAGCCTTTTCGGACCAAAACCAGCCGACTCAGCGGCCAAAAGACTACACCAATCGCGGTCATCCGCACTTTTATAAGAACGAAACGGCGTTTTTAGTGATTTTTCCATACAAATCCCTATCTAGTAGGGCGCAGTCACCCAGTTTCGGTGGAAGTGCGCGAGTTCGATTGGGAATAAAGGAGGAAGGGAGTGTCTCAGCTTCCTCGGGCCAAGAACCATTCGACTCAGCACCCCGAAGACTACAACTGGTGAAAATTTGATTTTAGGGTATACTTCCCCTTTAAAGAACACGGAGCCCAAGAACACGCAGCCTGAAATACTAATAATTAAAAGAACGCCAGAAACCAAAGCTGAGAATGGGGCATATCATTTTCTACCGTTGTATAATTCAGCTTTTGTTATACATGTACACGTGTTATAAAGTGCACACTCCAGCACAATAAGAGTCTAAGAATGTGCTAAAACTCAGAACGCACACATATTGCTAAAACAATGACTCAACTGCAGTTCTTTGCGCACAGATCATACTAAGAGTCCATCATACATTTCCCTTGGGGTTGTGGACTCTTGGATCATATTCCCATTGACATTCACAATGACGGTTTTTGATCTTTGCCCTTCACCGAGAATTGAAACCTACTTCAAGCTGTCCTGAGAGTACATTACAACTTTCAGTTTCGCACGAATCTTACAAGAGAAGGTCATGAGTAGTATAACATGATTGCAAACCCGAAGAACACGCCAATGCTTCATAAACTACATACAGGCTGTTGGCTAGGCCATTTTTTAAAAGGGACCAAAAAATGACATTGAAATTACGGTCTGCAGACCCTGGTTAGAACTTTGTCATTTGAACGAAGATGATGTGGGCTTCTATCTCAGGCCCCTCAAGAGTGAATACCGGTGCTGGTGCGTTTCTTTGCCATGTAATATGTCTCCCACTGGTGACAACAGACAATGCATTGATTTTGTTTTGTTCCAAACCGAGGAGGCCACCACGACCCCATCAAGAACCGGACACCGATGAACGCTTCTGGAAGTGTTTCCACATCGGTGGAGAGTCAAAGGAAAGCATCGATGTCTACATACTGTCTTGCCCAAAAATTTGGCGAATTTTTCTTTGCCACTTGCCTGATTTTTACGAATATTTGATAGCTCCCACAAGAACACTCCCAGCGACGTCGAGACAATGAGTAACGACCACTACAACTGACATCCATAAGGTGAAAGGCCCAATCAAGGTGTCCGGAAAGCAAAACTTCCGCAAACAAGCACTGATGGAGAGAAAATTGCAAACGACTCGAGACATCTAACATTTTCTTGACAATTTTTCGACGAAGATTCGAATATATTCAGCTCGGAAAAGTGGCCAATCTGCATAAAAAAGTACAACTTTTAGACGACTTTTTCGGTCTTGGCGCATGGACTGAACACGACGACTTCTACAACACAAAAAAAGAAATTTTCTAAATCCTAACAACCCCTGGAGTAACGAGGGTCCGAACCTGGGTATCCAAATACGGTTCAAATGGTCGCAAGACCGGGACTCTGCCAACCGGGTTATGGTTGTAGTCAGGAGCACTATGCGTCCTCGCCTTGAGAACGTGGTGAGTACGTGAGTCCTCCGTGTCGCGTATGATTTGAATGGTCGCGGGATCCGGGACAGAAGAACAGTAATTTTACGACTCCCAGCGGTGCAAACAGACCGCGGCCATGTTTTCTCTGTCGGCCCCACCGCGATCACATTCAAAAAATCGATGACGCAATGCATGCGCAGAGTGTAGGCCTGCGCCTTGCGTTCACTGACCTCCCTAAGGGCCGGGTTCCACTGCGGCTCCGCTGCTCCGCTGCTCGTCTTTCGCGGCTTGAAACGTCATCATTACCATAGTGACCGCGGCTCGAGCTGGAGCAGCGAGGCCGCGGCTCACCGCGAGCTTTTGCTACGATTCTTGACCAAAAACTGCGAGCCGCGGTCGCGGCTCGACCTGTTTCCCGTACTTTGCATTGTTTCGTACGCCAGAATTTTAAAATTCAAAATTTAATTCGTTGCGCAGGCCAGAACACGACAATTTTTTTGATTTCGCGCGCGCAGGCAGGTGAGACGTCATCAAAAAGTGTAGACCACGACCGCGGTACCGCGAAAGGCGAGTGTCAATGGAACCGCGCTGCTCCGCTGCATGCAGCCAAGTGCCGCGGAGCAGCGGAGCCGCGGAGCCGCAGTGGAACCCGGCCCTAAGGGCGCGCTCACACTGCGACCATGAGCACGCGTCCATGCGTCAGCAAAACGCAGAAACGTGGCAGTCATGCTCACACTACTATGGGGCTGTTAAGTGTGACGTCACGGCCCCTTCGATACGCATAGCAACGGAGAGCACTGGGGACAAACAAAAGTCGCGTCCTCTGGATGGAACCAGTTGCGAAGGGCAACAGCATCTAAATGACTGGAGAGAGAGCAGTTTTTCTTTGCTTTTTCTTCAAGCGATTGTTGTCGCTCTGTACTCCTTGTTCTTTCCTCTACAAATCTCCTGTAGTCGTCGAGGGCCTTCATAATGGCTGTGAAATTGGCTGCCCACTGTAAAACTCCGTGTTTGAGAGTGCTTTGAAGATTATTCGCCTCCTGATGGATCAAAGTACGAGCGCTCCCTGTGGATTCGATTATATGTAGGTGAGTTGTTCAAGAAATCAGCGTCTTCTTTCTGTCTCTGCCCTCACGCTGGCACAACATCAGCCTCTATATCCATGACAGCCCGCACCTCCCGTAGACTGCATGACTTAGCTGTATTCTCGCCCTCCGTGGTGATTGAAGACCCATGGAAGAAGTTGTTCAGAATGATGTCCTGAGAATATAAAATAAATTAATTCCAGGGAATTGTTACAGGGTATTTTGGAAGGATGGAGAAAGAGAGAGCACTGTTTGAAGTGTTTCTCTCACTGTAATTACTCCAAATTATTGAATGGTGTATGATCTACTCGATATTTTCCGCAATGGTTTTTCCTGATTTGCGGGATCTCTTCTTTTGCTGTTTGCGTGTTTACAGGAAGTGACTGTCTGGTGTATCTGCACCAGATCCTGGGGAAATGAAGTCAGATGCAGAGGCAGGGTCGTCCAGTGATGCAACACTGCCGTTCTGTGTGCAACCTCACCGCTAATTCCCCCGGCGAAAACACAAACACGTGAAGAGACTACAGTATTGACCGTTCTGGCAATGAATCGTGACTGCTCGGACAGTCGATAATCGAAACACAGAGCACCAGCATGATGTTTTCATATTGGGAACCACACACCAGCTCAATTCTCAAGCCGAAAAATTGATGAATACAAAACACAGAGCGACGCAACAAGAGATCATCCGGCAACCAAACCAACCTGGGTCTGATGCACTGAATAGTCACACAAAGCAGTGCAAGCACAGACTGTTACAAGGTACATGCATTGCAGAACAAAGTGTAACCAAAGATACACAGGGTTATAGCTGCACACTCGTGCATGTGCTCGCTCAGCCCAAGAACATGCAGGATGATAGAAATAATCCGGGGGAAACACGCTAATGTCATGACCGGGGAGTGGGCCAGACATACTCTCAGGATTCTACAATTCCAGGTTCTTTACGGAAATATACCAGGAATCCAGATACCCATTCCTCACCCTCACCACACAAGCAGATCAAAGCTTCACTCTAGGACCAAGCTCAAACAAAAGAGAAGCAACAAGAACAACAACCAGCGATCGATGCAAAGCATCGAGCTATATACAAGACCTAGTAGCGTGCACGGCGCGGAGCGAGCGAGTAGCCAGCAAAGCATGAATAGTGATAGGTTTCACAACACTATTGATCGACAAGACACATCGCCGCCACGGCAAACACTTCATAAAGACACATGTATAAGCAGACGGAATACAATACAGATAATGACATTGTAGCAACACACGGACACGACACTAGCACCGAAGTAAGCATCAAGACGTAAATAGTGCAGCTCTGAAAAAGTAAAAACTACATTGACATGTACATTGGTGTGCCGAGTAGTATCATCCTTGATTACCCATCCCGGCAACCAAGACGTTATCAGGTCCCAGACGCCGAGATCCCACGCCGAATGTGAAGTGCATCTAGCCTTGAACCTGTTGCACAAGGCACACACATATGACAAAAAATGACATCCACTCCGATTATTTCCAGAGGCCAATCATAACAGAACACAGAAATGAAACCACGGGCTCAACAAAGTAAACGCAAAGGAAATTGAATCCATACATCCTGTACACACACCTTGTACACACTCTCTCTAACGGTCTCTAGGCTACACTGCAATTGATATACATTAGATCAAATTTTCGGGCAAGGCCCTTATTCCTGATGATGGGCCTTGCCCGAAAATTTGATCTAATGTATATCAATTGCAGTGTAGCCTAGAGACCGTTAGAGAGAGTGTGTACAAGGTGTGTGTACAGGATGTATGGATTCAAGTATTGGCTACAGTGGAGTCTCCAAACCTTGAGCAAAGGAAATTAGTTAAAATAATCCATGAAGTGCTATTTTAATTCCAGCGCTAACTGCAGTGTGGCGTCATGGCCCGATACCCGCTGAGTATAGACACAAACTCCATTTGACAGGGGCACGACATACTATTTTGGAATAAAGTCACAGGGGCATAGCACCCGCTACGACTGGTACGACCATGGCCGCACCACTTTTCGAAAAGTGTGGTCCGTCTGGAATGTGCAAAACCGTAATAAAAAAATCAGGATCCATCGATATTTGCATATGCGCATCAGACCTTTTTCTAGACTCGTACTCGTAGATCTGTTATGCATCTGCAGTCGTACTGAGTACTGTACTCGACTCGACTGCACACTGCGCCAGAAGTTCCCAGAACGCAGGATTTTGTGTCTTTTTTACAAAATTTTCCCAGGGGGGGGGGGGGGGGGGGCGGCGGACCCCCTCCAACACGGTCTTCCGCCGCACCGACCTTCGGTCGTACCACTTCCAAAACCCCTCCTACGCCCCTGAGTCATAAAGTACAGCACTCCAATGACATGACGGACACCTCGTGCAAATGCATGGTCTGTTCATCCAGCCAACTCGGCCACGCATGAGAGTGTGTGCATGTACGCACGCACGCGTGCACACACACCATGTATTCGGTGCGTATGGCGTACCTATTGCGGAGATAATGAAGATGGAATCATTATCATGATGTTACATGTACATGTACAGTGTATGTTTGAGTGTAAAGTAAATTTTATTTTATTACACATTTCTTCGACACAACTTACTCCACATCTTCGCATTTCTCATAATCCATCCACCTACACTCCGTCTCAGTTGAGGAAAAACTCTCCCAGGTATACACTAGTCACCACAGCCATGTGATGACATTGGGATGGGTCCCAAGCACGATTGCACTCTCCAGTTACAATATAATTTATTTGTCCAGAGTATCTGTGAAGACAAAATGCAATGCATAGCGGCAATCGATGGATGAAGAGAGAGTTTGTAAATACACATATCTTTCCACTTGTTCAGGAGCTTACCTTTTGGAGTTCACATCGTTTACACGATCTCTTATGCTGTCTTGCACCTTGGCTTTGTTGACCATGGATACGCCATCCCAGAAGACATTCTACAGGAGCTACTAATGCAGAGCGTTTTTCACGCTCGATCTCGGCGATCTACCTCGTCACGCCAATAAAATCCTCCGTGACACTGGCTACAGTCACAAGAGACGTCTCAGTAAGGTAATGAGCACGACAACGCCGTCGAGATCAAGGACAAAGAGAAAACAAAACACTCACTGAAAACAGCAAAGAAGAAACGAAGAAATGTACACGATTCCTATATGTTGCCACTGACAACTGGTTCGGTGGAGACGACGCTACTTTTGTTTGTCCCCAGTGGGATCGTTGCTATGCGTATCGAAGGAACTGTGACGTCATCACTTAACAGCCCCATACTAGGCCTCGTACACGCGTAGACGTGAAGTTGTCACACAAACTTTACGAATTGCAGTTCGTATCCAAAAGAGTTCGTGCGTTTCCTAATAAAGTTGTGGCCCGTTTTGGATGTAATTTTTCGCATGTTGCATGTTGGAGGAAGTGCCTCGTGGCTCGTATTTAATTCTTGAAGTCGACGAAAATAATTCATACAATCAGGTAGGTTTGGACTCTTGAGGGACTGCCGCTGACAGCCAAGCGCTTTCGCTTTCCTGACCTCGTGGTCAGAGCAAGTGCCAGTGCAGTGGAAATTCCGGTAGTGGTTTTTTTCGTCTGTTGCCGAGAAGAGAACTTTATTTTCCGATGATATGTAACTGAAATGTCTTGAGGTATGGCATTCCATCATCGCAGAAAAGTAGAGAAAGATGATTTCCCAAACCGAAAAGCCAGGCCAAGCTGCCATCGTATTGAACGAGTACACTGTAGAAATTGGTCACTGGCCCGATCACAACGAAGCAACTACAAAAACAAAAACAAAATTGACATCGTCCAAAAAGGCCAAAGAATGCATATATGGCGATGCGTGCGTGCAGGACCACAACTACAAAATTTTAAAAATGTGCACATGTCGAGGATGACATCGACAACCGCCGAGTTTCATAAATCAACACTCCGGAATTTGAGAAATTGAACATACTTCAGGCCAGGTTGTACACAAATACGCTTCACGTCTACGATCATGTTGCCGCCAAGTCGTGGCACCCCCCTCCGGAGGTCGCGGTCACGATTTGAAACGTGGCCGCGACGTTTTGGTCAACTTCATGCCGTTGCCATGCAACTTGGCCGCATGGCCGCATGGACGCTGGTTGTGGTCGCAGTGTGAGCGCGCCCGAAGGGCGCGCTCACACTGCGACCATGAGCACGCGTCCATGCGTCAGCAAAACGCAGAAACGTGGGAGTCGTGCTCACACTAGGCCTCGTACACGCGTAGACGTGAAGTTGTCACACAAACTTTACGAATTGCAGTTCGTATCCAAAAGAGTTCGTGCGTTTCCTAATAAAGTTGTGGCCCGTTTTGGATGTAATTTTTCGCATGTTGCATGTTGGAGGAAGTGCCTCGTGGCTCCTGGCTCGTATTCTTGATCGAGTCGGCGAAATAATTCATACAATCAGGTAGGTTTGGACTCTTGAGGGACTGCGGCTGACATCCAAGCGCTTTCGCTTTCCTGACCTCGTGGTCAGAGCAAGTGCCAGTGCAGTGGAAATTCCGGTAGTGGTTTCTTTCGTCTGTTGCCGAGATGAGAACTGTATTTTCCGGTGTAACTGAAATGTCTTGAGGTATGGCATTCCATCATCGCAGAAAAAGTAGAGAAAGATGATTTCCGAAACCGAAAAGCCAGACCAAGCTGCCATCGTATTGAACGAGTACACTGTAGAAATTGGTCACTGACCCGATTACAACGAAGCAACTACAAAAACAAAAACAAAATCGACATCGTCCAAAAAGGGCAAAGAATGCATATATGGCGGTGCGTGCGTGCAGGACCACAACTACAAAATAATTAATTTTAAAAATGTGCAAATGTCGAGGTGACGTTGACAACCGCCGATTTTCATGAATCAACACACCAGAATTTGAGAAATTGAACATACTTCAGGCCAGGTTGTACACAAATACGCTTCACGTCTACGATCATGTTGCCGCCAAGTCGTGGCACCCCCCTCCGGGGGTCGCGGTCACGATTTGAAACGTGGCCGCGACGTTTTGGTCAAGTTCATGCCGTTGCCATGCAACTTGGCCGCATGGCCGCATGGACGCTGGTTTTGGTCGCAGTGTGAGCGCGCCAAGGCTGTCATCACACCATGGTACAAAGCGCTGCGTCTACGTCCACGTAAGGAGTTTTTGGTCGGTTGTCATGATGATCCGTATACGGGGTGAAAACGGGAGCAGAGGAAACGGGAGACGTGGACGTGGTATGGAGAGGGGGGGTATACGACTTTTTGTATGAACGTGCGTATCTCCCCCAGCCTTTTTCCGAGCGACCCTGTACTTCGATGTACGTGGGTTCAAATTTCTCCACAAAACCTGACTGCGTGTACGCGTCAAGAACTGTGCCTGTCTGATGACACGACCACCCGTTTTGGTTTTTTCACCATAGACGTAGACGTAAACGGGAGTCGGAGAACGTGGTGTGATGACGGCCTAAGGCTGTCATCACACCATGGTACAAAGCGCTGCGTCTACGTCCACGTAAGGAGTTTTTGGTCGGTTGTCATGATGATCCGTATACGGGGTGAAAACGGGAGCAGAGGAAACGGGAGACGTGGACGTGGTATGGAGAGGGGGGGGGTATACGACTTTTTGTATGAACGTGCGTATCTCCCCCAGCCTTTTTCCGAGCGACCCTGTACTTCGATGTACGTGGGTTCAAATTTCTCCACAAAACCTGACTGCGTGTACGCGTCAAGAACTGTGCCTGTCTGATGACACGACCACCCGTTTTGGTTTTTTCACCATAGACGTAGACGTAAACGGGAATCGGAGAACGTGGTGTGATGACACCACGTTCTCCGACTCCCGTTTACGTCTATGGTGAAAAAACCAAAACGGGTGTAGTCCTGCGGCCCAAATCTGAAAGACGTTGTTTTGCAAGTCCCGTTTCAGTCTCAAGCAGACAACCTGAGCTTTGCATGGGTGGAAAGACCATGTTCTAGGGATGTCGAAACGGCTTGTTGTCATGTCCAGAACTAGGGCATAAGCTGGGGAGAACCAATTTTAGGTTTCGTTACGGAAGTCGTTATTTTACGTTATTTTACGACTCCTTGATCGAAATTGGCAACATGTGATACGATATTTTATTGAAAATTAGTGCAGTCGATGTGAATTTGTTCTTGTGTTTGGATGATTTGTAGATCATGGTTGCCCTTTGCCGAGCGTTCATTTCCTATTGATGGTGATTAGAGATGGCACAGATTGATTTGTTGTAAAATTTGACCAAAACACCCCCAAACATGGATCTTTCGTATGAGAGGATTTCATTTATTGGGACACTATCTCGACAACACCAGCGGAAGAGAGCTAGCACGAGCGAAGCAAAGGACACCGGAAAACGGCAGAGTGATAGCGATCATAAGCTGATCTTAGCAAACGAGCGATATGGAAGATGTTGTAAATAATAGCGCAGTAGTGTATTTGTCATTTGCTGCAGAGTGGAAAAGTACAATTCAAATTCAAATCAATTCAAAAACTTCAATAGTGCAGTCCACCAGCCTTAGCTTTCAGACTCACTGTCCGATTCACAGTCGGACTTACAATCCAATCCACTGTCGAAACTGCCTTCACCCTCATCATGGCATTGTGTGCATGCGCGTACACACACCGCACAACACATGGCATTGTGCGCGCGCGCTCGCACACACACATACACAAACCCCACACGCATGCACACACACCGCACAACACATGGCATTGTGTGTGCGCGTCCGCGCGCGCACACACTCACACACCACATAGCACGCTAGAGATCAGCAAGAACCTGCTGCGACCGTGGTTGAGATGGCGCTGTAGAAGACACCGCAGCCGCCACTGGTTACCTCGCACCCGAGGTTGTAGTCAAAGCCGTACTAGCCGACACATCTGTACTGGAGGCTGATGTAGTACCCAAAGATGAAACTGATCCACTGGTGTTCACCTGACGCGGCGGAGTAGCGGATCCTTTGAAGCCGAAATGAGTGGGCAACACGACATAGGCGGGGACAAGCCCAGCGGATATCGCAGCGGGCCTATCGTAACTCCTGGCAGTGAGCCTATCGTAATTCCTGGCAGTGGGCCCGTCGTAACTCCTGGCATTGGGCCCGTTCTCTTGCCGGACACTGGGGTGCGGAGTGGACGTGGATGCGGGCAGGAAATCTGCGGCGACCGGCTGGACTGGGATGGTTGGGGTCGGGCCAGGTGCGTTACTAGTATGACTGTTCGGCAATGACTGGGTATTACCGGCCATCGGACCGTTTCCAGACGACACAGACAAGCGGTTGCTCCGTGAAGAGTACGCCTGTATACCCATGCCACTTACCATACATGTCAATTGCTGAAGGAAACACACAGTTCAAACACAAAACGTAAATGAAACACGCCAATGAAATTCGATCCTTAAACAAGTCAAGTTCGCATGTCCGCGTTATCACGGGCTATACAATTGTGTTTAGAAAACAACCAGTTTATAATTCTGTCTCTTTTTGCATAAAGTCAGCCTAGAAAACTGACATCAGCTTTGGACATTACTCTGACTCGGACCACAAGCCCTGATTTATTCTGACCTAAATGTGTATCGTGTGAAGCAGCGCGAGAGCCAAGCTGGTCATAATAATACGTGTAACAGCCACGAACGTAATTCAACCAAAGAAGACTACCACATTACATGAGCATGAACACTTGCATTCCATTTAATACATTCCTATGTTGTAGATGTCAGGCACTGTAGTGTTCACGTCTACATACACTTTGTGGCATTCCTTGGCCACCCAGACATTCATGATAGTAGCGCATCGTGAAATGAACTTAGCGGCTTTTAGTTGCTGTGCATGAGTCTGGACTCATGATCTGGTGTGTACATGTGATCTTGTAGTTGAGCGTATGTGTTATTTGGATTCCCTTGGTCATGACCAAACAATAAAACATGATCAAATTATTTCTACACATTCAACAATGCCAAGAACTCACCTGGTCCCCAAGTAGCTCATTATCTTCTTTTTCAGCATGAAAGTTGGATACTAAGGCGGAGTGTGATGGTCGGCCAAGCTGGTGCCGTTTGCAGTTATTGTACTTATCCGTGAGAAGCTTCATGGGCAAGGCCTTTGCAGACTTCAACTCGGACTGTATATACAGCACCAGGCTGTCAAATGTTTCGTAGGCCGACGGCTGGTCACTCCCTTTGCCACTTCGTTGCCGGTGCATAGTGGCCAGGTGGGTGAAGGCACTGTAGCATGCTCCGACGTTGATAGTGGATTTCCG